AGAAGGTCGTGACAAAGCAGGCTAACAGTAATGATGAAGAGGAATTCAATGCAATAAAAGTAACCCAGGATTTCCTTACTAGATGTAGTACTTAAAAATTCCTATTTCAAGCATTTCATCAACTCCCAATAATCACAGTGGGTAGATTATCCATACAGTGGGCTAGGCCTGGACAGTTGTTTACTCTCAGACTGGATTTTCCTTTTGTTTTATTTTCTTTTTTTTATTATTATGCTTTAAGTTCTAGGGTACATGTGCACAACGTGCAGGTTTGTTACATAGATATACATGTGCCATGTTGGTGTGCTGCACCTGTTAACTCATCGTTTACATTAGGTATATCTCCTAATGCTATCCCTCCCCGCTCCCCCTACCCCATGACAGGCCCCAGCGTGTGATGTTCCCCACTCTGTGTCCAAGTGTTCCTCTTGTTCAATTCCCACCTATGAGTGAGAACATGCGGTGTTTGGTTTTCTGTCCTTGCAATAGTTTGCTCAGAATGATGGTTTCTGGCTTCATCCATGTACCTACAAAGGACATGAACTCATCCTTTTTTATGGCTGCATAGCATTCCATGGTGTATATGTGCCACATTTTCTTAATCCAGTCTGTCACTGATGGACATTTGGGTTGGTTCCAAGTCTTTGCTGTTGTGAATAGTGCCGCAGTAAACATCCAACATATAAAGACACATACATGTGTCTTCATAGCAGCATGATTTATAATTCAGGCTGGATTTTCTATCCTGTCTCTATCCTGTCTCTCAATTTCTAGGGACATTCATCAGCTGATTATATCTGAGTATTTTCTTTCCACTCCTTTCATATACAAGTAACTGTAAGCAGATAGCAGACCAGGACAAAAAAATGATAGATAAGTGTAGGTGGATGACAGTAAAGATAACATGAGACCTCATGATGATAGGAATCATCCAGAACTTGTCTCATAGTAGACACTCAGTAAATATTTGTTGAACTGAGTGAATGGAGGTATTGAAAAGTTGAATTAGAAGACTTCTAAGGTTTCTTCCCACCCTATTACCTATGACTCCTCAGAATAAGATGATGGAAAACCTGAGTGACCTAGGAGATAGATGCCCAAACTCATCAGGAGCAAGACAGAGAAGTTAAAATGAAGGGACTCATCTCAGGCCAAGATGGATGCTGAATGAATAAGTCAGGACTGATCCAAGCTGTTATACCCCAACAGGATCCTTGGTCCTGGGTAATGCCCCAAAATTTCCACACAGAGTCCAAGGGGACTAAAAAGAAGTTCTCTTAGGATTTAAGGTATAGACAAAATGTTAAGTGAAATCCCAGACCTTAACTTACTTAGGAAGTCTGAGAGTACTTAGATGCATATTGGTGGGGGTGGTAAGACTCTGTTCTGAGGCCCTGGATTTTATGACGTATTGTTTTCTTCCGATATCACAGAAACCTAGAATTCAGGGCAGGAAAGATTCTTAGAAGTCATCTAAGCCCACCTCCAACCCAGTAGAGGAACTTTTTCTACAGCATCCCCAACAGAGGGTCATCTGGTCTTCAGCGACAGGAAGTTCGCTTTCTCCAGAGGCAGCAGCATTATTGCTAGACAGCTTCCATGTGGGCAGTCTAATGTCTACCCATTAATGCAACAGAGGCCATGCCTGTTCCCTCACTTCTGGGGCAGCTCTCCTGAAGTTAGGAATTGCGTGGTTTTTTTTTCCTTCATCTTCATGCCTGCCAGCAAACATCCCTCATTCCTTCAACTGTGGAGACATGGATTGTGGGTGCCTTAATGTGCTGCTTCCTTGACAGTACTCTAACTGATCTATGTAGTTCTTAAAATGAAGCTGGCCAGATGAATGTTACAGAGTTGAATGCAGTGGTCCAGATATGGCCTGGCCTACAGAGAGGAGAGTGCGACTATTTCTTCCTATTCATTTCTAAATTATCAACACCATCTGCTTAATCATCTATTCTAAAATGTTCCCCCAAATGGTCATTAAGTTTGCTGGTTCCTTAAATTCCAGGACCCTCTTTCACCACTCACTTGTCCTTATTTGTTTGTCTTCTGTTCGCTGGTTCATCTCCTATGCTACCAATGCACTCCCATCTTGGGCTGCCTTTTACTATTACTGGTTTGGCACTGGGTAGGGAAATACCCAGGTTTCCCCTAAATTTCTCAAAATGTGTGTTCCTGCTCACCGCAAATCCTCAATCTACCTGGCATAGAGAAGCTCTAAATACTTGTTGACTACATAATGAATAAATGCATGAATAAATAAGTAGGAAATGTTCGTCGGGAGTGGTAGCTCATGCCTGTAATCCCAGCACTTTGGGAGGCTGAGGTGGGTGGATCACTTGAGGTCAGGAGTTCGAGGCCAGCCTGACCAACACGGTGAAACCTTGTCTCTACTAAAAATACAAAAATTAGCCAGTTGTGGTGGCGGGCACCTGTAATCCCAGATACTTGGCAGGCCAAGGCACTAGAATCACTTAAACCTGGGAGGCAGAGGTTGCAGTGAGCCAAGATTGCACCACTCTACTCCAGCCTGGGTGATAGAGTGAGACTCAGTCTCAAAAAAAAAAAAAAAAAAAGCATCAAATGATCAAATGTCACCTACAGGCTTGATCACACCAGCATGTAACAATCCACTTCTAACAAGAGCCTGTCTTTTTAGCATCCTGAATCTGACCCAGATAAATAATTTCTTCTCACCAGTATCATCTGCTGAGTCTAACAGTTAATTTTCATTGTTCTCTTTCTCTTCCAAAGCCATGGCTGCACAGAAGAAAGTGGCAAATATAATCTGACCTGCTAAGTTACTCAGTTTTCCTACCCCAAACTTCACTGTCTTTAGAACAATCCTGTTCCATCCCACAGCCATTATGAGTGACATGTGGCCAACAGAATCAGGAAGTGACTGGTGGGCATGACTAGGTGAACTCTGTGGCCTGCCGGGAGCTTACACTCTTCATGAATACAGGTCCCTCAGGAGACAGAGCAGCAGGCATCACAGAACAGTTCTTCCCACTGGCAACAGGACTCTTGCCTGCCCTATGAAGATCCTTCTGATTCTCAGGAGCGCAGACTGTAATGATGTGACCACCCTCTGAGAAGCAGAGAGCCTGCATCTTGTGTGTTCCTTCAGTGATAATGAAAGATAATTCCACCTTTTTCATGGCCTTCCTCTCAGCCCCTCTTGGGTTTTGTTCCCCTTCGCCCCAGCGGAAATCTTTTCTTTTTAAATTACTTCCAGTCTGTTTTGTCCCACTCTTTGCTTAACAAGTCAGAATAAAGAAAAGTATTCTTCCAACTCTTTCCCTCTTTATTCTAAAGAAAAGATGAGCATGAATTAGTTGCAGCTATGTGATGAACATGCAGGAAAGAAAAATGTACCCTTTATATCTTCTGGGATCCCAATTTCTTCTGTCTTTAAAAGAACTGAGAGTCCATCACGGGTCCCTGTGAAAACTTCTATTGTAAATTGCTTCAGAAAATTCCTGGTTTTATGCCTGTTGGTCACATACTTAGGAAAAGTGCTTTAAAAAACTGCTTAGCTAAATTGCTAAATTACCTATATCAATCATGAGTTATTTAGTCTACCTCCTTGCTTCTGAGACAGATAAGAGTATTTCTTCTTTACAATGACCCCCAGAAAAAAAAAAATCTTTCATCCTTACATTCATTGTCTCATGCACTCAAAGTTTATAAGATCTTCTTCAGATATGACCCAAATCCCTTTTACTGGAACTTAAGACCTTTTATCTTTTTTCTGTTCCCAGTGGATATCATAAAGAACAAAAAAAAACAGACACTCTTCAGCATCTGTTTGTTCACAGTCTTCTGTCTGAAGTTCTTCAGGGCTCACCATTCCATTCAACATCCTTCCAAGTAGGGGATGACTGCTCTTAAAATCCCCTTTACTACCTGCGCATCACCTCCCAAGCATCCCTTTACATTCATCTCTTCTTTAGCTCTCTGAGATGCAGTACTTGCCTCATTCGACATTTGCTTCAAGAACTTAATAACACATTCAAAAATTATCCCAGGTCTTCCAGCAAAGGCAAAGCTGGATCTATAGCTCCTCCCCGTAATTCACTAATTCTTCTATAAAATGCACAGAGACAAGATGAAGGGTTTGAAAGCCCAAGGAACCATTTCTTATTTGCCACAACAAACATTTCACAGGTTTTGGCCCCACTAAGAGACAGACAGCAGTGCTGTCGCTGCTCAAGAACAAACATGGCAAGAGAGCATGGCGGCTGGCCTCAGGAGGGTTGAATTCTAGACCAAGCTCTCCCACTGAGCCTTGTGAGCCACACACATCCTCTGCCAGCCCCTTTCCCTAAGCAAGACATGACACGTATCTGCCTAGATTGCTCCTCAGGGCTCTCCCAACTCTCACATCTTGTGGTTCTCTGATCAAGTGAAGGTCTCATCTCTCCCTTCTCAAAATACATAAACTATGTCCTTGGCATGTCTCCCACACCCACCTTGTGGCCAGTACTATCTAGACCAGTGTTTCTCACACTTTTTAAAATGATCATCCTAGGACCTGAAGAAGCCTTTTTAGATCTTTTTTCCCTAATCACCCTACCCAGTGAAAATTCAATACCACACATATACTGTACATTGGTAGAGTATATATACCTGTGTTTAATACATGGAAATAAATATTTTGCTATCCCTAACAACCAATTTTCACTCTCTTTGGGGGCAGTATCACTCCCACTGAAAATGCATGACCTAAATCAAGTTGAGTGCCTCCTCTAGCTGAGTGATACAGAATTGAGTGTCCAGAGTTGCCACTTCCAGCTCCCACCCCATTCACATGAATCCCAGCAGTAACAATGGGAATGAGGCAGACAATGGACAATGGTGTTCCAGGAACAGTTAGAATCCACTGGAAGGGCAGAAACCACTAGGGTCCCTGGCAGAGATGGAGGCTCCTTCCAAAACTGGCATCAGCCCAGCTTCCCTCCCGCTCCCCTGCAGGCCCTTCCCCTTCCCCTTACCTTGGCACGCTGGCCAAATACGTCACTAGTTTCCGCAGGTCTTCCTGTCTTATTCTGTCATGATTGCTGCGAGCAGGGAAGGTCAGGATGGGTCCGCCTCGCTTATCACGACCCCCTGCAAGGAGGAGGAAGGGAAGAGTATTTAAGAAAACCAGTCAGAAAGGAAAGCCACAGTGGAAAAAGAAATCTGTCTGAGTGCTGGGTGATCAGACAGAAATAGGGGATCCAGAGAAATCTGGTCACTGTTCAGGACAAGGCCAGGGGGTCGAGATGCAGGTAGCACGTATGACTGTGGGCAAGTCTTTTGGCTTCCCCGGTGCCTCATCTGTAGAAGGCAGATGAAAACAGTACTGTGCACATAACAGGGTTGCTGCAAGAACTGATGAGTTGGCACATGGGGATGTACTTGGAAAAGTAAAGCTCTCTACAAATGTGAGATGATAATGAAAGTGGTGATAACTGTTCTTACTGAGAAAACAAGCTGGTGGAAAGTGCTATGTTCTTTGGAAATTTAACCTCTAATTTACTTCTCTTTATAGACCTCTGTGAGGTGGGAGTGCTTGTCATTAGCTGACTACTATGGTAAGCAGACCTCAAAGCATCCATCCCGGGATAGCATTACTGGGAGGTTCTTAGATTCATAGAAAAAACATTAAGTATTTTCTACACAGCCAAAAAACCACCCCTGCCTGTCTGCCTGAGGTGCCACCTGTCACTCCTGCTAGAGGAGCACATGAATCTTAGCAGAAATCAGAATGCTCAAGGTCTTAATCACTGCAAATGCATATGTACATACTAAGATTACAAGTGTTTTCTAAACATCACATTTAAAATAACTGGAAGGAGTATACCAAAATGACAATTGGTGTTGCTATTAGAAGGCCAGGATTTTGGATCGTTGCTTTTTCTTTCCTCTACTTTCCAAATACCCTATTTGCTATTTATTATATGATTTTAAAATGTATTCATTAATGGACACTATGCTTAGGAAGTGGAACCAAGTTTCTCAGGGGCGTTAGATAGGAAAAAAGCTAAGGGTAACTATGACCTTACAGGGCACTGGCCATTACACAAAAAAAACCACTGTGTCATGATCACAGACTCCTCACGCCACATCTCAGGTGGCCACCAGATAGACCCCAGAGTAGGACCTAATGAAAGGGATCTAATGAAAGAGAGTGGAAAGGTGCAAACCTCACCAATACTGGAAAACAGGATCTCTTACACAGAGGGCAGAGTCTCCCAGGGATCCTGCCCAAGTGTGAGTTCATGAATAAGGTTTCCTTCTGGTTAAGGAGTCCAGAAGGCACACGGAGAGAGGGGACGCTTGACAAAAAATCAATCCAGAATACCCTTGAGGAGGAAGTAAGGAGGCTGCAGAGAGAAAAGGATTACACAACATCAAGGCCACTGTGAGATCCAGCCCTGATGAAAAAGTGTTTCTGCACCACCACCACTGCCCAGCACCCCAACTCAGGGAAGATTCATACAGATTAACTCAAAGTTGGACATTTCATACCACTAGCCCTGGTTCTTTGAAGTGATAACCACCCTTGTCTCATCTGCCTTGGAAATGGTCCCCATCTCTCCACTGCCTTCCACATGAGGAAATGGAAGCGAAAAAATTAAATAGAAGGTTTTCCAAAAGCTGGGAGGTACTCCAACACTCTCAACCTTCTCCTCTATCCTTGACCTCACCCCAAGCATTTTCACTCTGGCAGTTTGTTTGTTTGCTTGTTTTACCATAGCTGTTGGTTTTTTCCTGACCTTCCTTGGGCATTTTACAAGTAGAGTCTTGGAACCATAAGGAACCACAGCTCTGACTGGCAAAGGGTGGCTTGGA